GCCCGCGCCCCCATGCGCCGCCCACGGCGCGAGGAGAGCCGCGGAGCCACCGAGCCGCCCCCGCCCCGTCCCACTCGAGGCCGCGCCGCCGGGGTAGGGGAGGTGCCCACCGAGCCCCGCGCCCCGCCCGCGGGCGGCTCRGCCCCACCACGTGCCGGCAGTCGCCACCGACCCACACACAGCCGGCGGCACCACCGCGACAAGAGCACGGAGCCACATCCCCATTGCTGCCGGAGCTTCCCCTTGCACAGCCCTGTCCAGCCCGCAGCACCGATGTCTGCCCACGTACTGAGCCCCGCACCCAGCCCTGCCCACCCCATTGCACGAAGCCGAGAGCCGCACAGCAMACACCACCCAAACGGTTGCCCGCGGAGCTACCCCAGCACTGCCCGCAGGCTCCCCCGGCTCCCGACGACGCCTACCGCGCCCCTCAGAGCCCGTGTGCTCCCGCCCCACACTGCCTCGGCTGGCGGCGACTCCAAGTAAAGACTCCAGACTCCCCAAAYCCCAGGGCGCACAAGGAGCAAAGACACCGACACCTGCAAGTGCGCRTGCAAGTGCCACAGCACCGCTCCCCCGCCCCCCACAAAACACACAGACACACGGACTACTGGGGCAGGCTTTGCTGTGACAGCTCCTCAGCTACAGCCCCGATGCTGCCTCCTCGGGGCAGGAAGGCGGTCCCTCGGCGGCCCAGGCTGCACCCCGCCGGCACCTCGTCCACCGCCACCTTCTCCRGACAGCTCGGCAGTCCCTCGGTGGCCCGGGCTGCTGCTGCTTCTGCCGCCGCCGCCGTCGGCACTTCCTCTTCCTCACAGCCCGCTGCTTCTTCGCCGACCTTCACACTTCCTCGGCCACGCGATGACTCCCCTGCCTGTCCCGCTCAGCTCTTTTTAAACCCGCTGGGCTCCTCTGATTGGCTGCAGTTCGGGCGTGATGGGCACGTRAGCTCCTCTGATTGGTTGCAGCTTCCGCGGCGGAGGCACGTGGCTCTTCTGATTGGTTTTCGCTGCCGCAGGCGGCGGCCGCGCTAATTGGCTGCGATTGTGGCGCGCAGAACCGGCTGGAGCCGGTGGCGGGCGGCGCCTGGCGCCCTCCCCGCGCCCCCCACGTGCCCTCCACGTGCCCCGCGTGGCCGGGCGCAGGGCGGAGCCCCCTAGAGCCTCGAGGGAAAAAGAAAGGGTTTAGCTGTAATAAAGTAATCTAAAAATGAAGTGCCCGCAGAGCTCTTCCTTGGGGCCGCCTGCCCTGCTCTTCTTGGAGCCGGGACTTCTCTGAGGCACCTGAGAGCCCAGCCTCCTGGGAGAGGCACCTCCGGCAGCAGCCGTGCCCATCCTCACGTTTTTCTGGAGGGCCGTCTGCCYGGGGCGGGCAGCACGTGAGACACGTTGGCTCTGTGCTTTCTTAAAATAACAAATGCAAAATTTTTAATATAGTTCTAAAAGGCAGATTGATGCCAATCGGCAATCTTGGCCCTATTTGTGTCTGGCTTATTTATTCAGCAGTAGTGCCGGGGTTGCCTAGCACTGAACAGAGTCATGAGCTGAAGAGAGGCTGCGTGAGGGAGCAGCCTACTTCGGCAGCAGGAAGTGTGAATTATCCCCCGATTTAAGTAGGAGGGAAGGAAGTCATTAGTGAATTCATCTGTGTAACTTGTTCCTCACAGCCATCTCACCAACAAAGTAAAGTTCCTAACGGCTGGTGCAAAGCTGTAAGCAGGGGCTATAATTGACTGGCTGCCGCAGTGCATGCTCCAGATGCTGAGGCCCACCCGTGTTCCCAGGGGGAGGAGGGTTTTCCATGCTGCAGGAAGTGTGCTTCCTCAGTTTCCAGCAATTGCACCYGTGCTGGTGCCCACCCTTTGCAATTGTCATCTTGGTAGGGTTCAACCCCCCAGAGAGTCTGTGCACACTTGGTGGTGAAAGTCCCTAATCTCTTTTCTTAAGGAAGAGCCTGCTAGTTTCTTTTGAGCGGAAAGGAGGATCGGGATATAAGGTAAGGGCAGCGTGAGCCTGGATTTCAGTGAGCAGCTTGCCTTTCCAACTGACCACCTTGATAGCACGTGTTACAGTGACTCCAGACTTAAAACGTTGCAAAACGTAGAGGTAAAATGTTGCAAACRCTTCCTAACCCAGCCCATGGCCCAGCTTGGGAGGGTGGCCAGCCGCAGGTGTGTGATTTTCCTTGACAGCTTCTTCCCTGTTTTTCAAGCACACCTGCGTTAGGCTCCTTCCCAGTCACACTAGACTGAGACTGTTTTTACCCTGGTGGTGGCACATAGGATGCATAGCAGCATCCTTACAATTCCTTGTGTATAGAAGTTATCTTAAGGGCTGTAATAGGAAGCTAAGGCAGTGTCACTTTTACTACTGATACCAAAGTATTCACAATAGCGCGTGCTCCTCGGCTGACAAACTTTTCAGACTCTCCGTTGCCGTGAAGTAGTATGCAGAATAAATTATAGCACTTAGTTACATAAATGGTATGTCCTTCTTAAACCCTACAAGCATCTTTACCAAGGCTGTTAGAGATTGCTTTTGCCTTGGCTATATTTGTCTCATAAATCTCAGCAATGTTGACAATTGGGCACAGTTTAATTTTGCAAATCTGAGAAATGATCAGGCCAATTTAGTTCACATTTAAAGCATTTGTGTTCACATGCTGAAAAGCCTTTTTTCCTTCCTTGCTCCTTGCCTAGGGCCCTTATTATCTGCTAGTGCTATTTATCAATGCACAGCAGGTACATTACAGTAAGGTCTCCTTCCTAAAATGATACAAAATAATCGTTCCTGTTCTTCATCCGCTCAAGAAGAAAAGTGAGCCTGACTTTCATGCGTGTCAGTATTCCTGAGCTGCAGTATTTATATATTACTGCAGGACAAGGGATTTAACTCGATCCGCTTTTCTCCCAAGTGACAATAGTTTTATAAAATGAACGGCAGCGAGTGTAAATTAGCACAACATTTCCATTCCACTCCATCATTTCCAGGCTCTAACTGCTACATGTGAATGAAGTGGAGGGAGCCCCGTCCCTGGCCGTAGCACTAATTCTCCCTTCCCTCTGGTTTGGGCTTGCAGTGAAACYGCAGGCCATTTGCCGGCCTGGGTCTCAGGCGCAGACCAGCACTCCGCGACCCGGCGCGGTTGGCCCCTCTCGTCGTGCTGTGTCGYGGCAGCTTCGTGAACTGCAAGAGCGAGTCCCAGATGCCGGGTGCTGAGTGCTGTGCAAGCGCCTTCCATTCAGACGCCAGCGCCATGCTCCGTGTCGGTGCCGAGGCAGGAGCCGCAGGCTCTGCTCGCGGTCGCCGGGCCCGGGGGAGCAGCGCGCCGAGCCGGGACAGAGCGCACCGCATGCCTGCGGCTCGAGGACATCCAACAAAGCTGTCTCGGCTGCGGAGAGCAGTGGGAAGCGCTTGTTCTGGAGTAGACAGCTTCCACTTTTGTTCCCAAGGCAGAGAAATGAATGAGCAGTCTTTAACGGGTCATGCCCTTGAGAAAAACACTCTTCCTCCTTCACACAAACACAGCAGCTCCTCATCCCCTCCTCTCAATCCAGATTTGTGTGCTTGCTTAGTAGCAGGAATGAGCAGATCCATTATGCCATTTTATTGACACAAATGTATATATTTGTTATGGTCCGTAGGATGCTGCCAGTTCAGAGCAGCAGCTGAGACTGAGTAGGAAGCTGCCTCCACGGGCTTCTAGTTTAACCCTTGGTGAAACGTTTTGAACCGCCTGCTTGCCGGGAAAGCGCTGCAGAGGACGGATGGGCGGTCTCTGTGTTTTGCCACCAAAGCGAGCAGGAAGGCGAGCGTGCGGACCTGGGAGCTGGGGAGGAGAGCAGCGCGTCCTGCGCGTGTCACGCTGAGCTGGCAGCGGCAGCAGAGCCTCCAGCCTCGTGCCTCCCCTGTGGAAAACTGCAGGAAATCCCCATGAAATGGAGCTAAAGCTCCCCAGCTTCCTTTGTGCTCTTTCCGCCCTAAGAGAGGTGCCTTGCCCCACATGCCGCTGGGGCTCACAAGCAAAGCAAGACTCGAAGGGAGCAGGGGAGGRGGCTCCACTTCCCCCGGCACCTGAGTGCCCTCGGCTGCGAGCAGCCACGCTGCCACTGCTGACACTTTTAATAACAGGAGCGACCTATTTATAGCCCACCCAATTCTTCTGGTTTCCTCGGCACAAAAACACAAAGTGTGCGCTAATCACATGAGAAGGGATTTAATTTTGGGCTCAGGGAAATCATGAGCCACAGCAAGTGGAGATATCCAAGCCCCGGGGGTGGAGGTAGGCAGCGGCCCAGCTCACGCCGGAGCTGCTGCCAGCTGCTCGGGTTTGTGCAGCAGGAGCCGGGCAGGGGCAGCCCCGCGGCGCTGCGGAGCCGGGAAGGGCTTGGAGYAAAGGCTCGGGGTGGCCCGTGCGGAGGGCGGGTGGCAGCGTGGCTGGCGCTGGCGTGTGGCGAGACGTGTCCCCCGGCTCTGCCCATCGCCTGGTGCCAGGTACCGAGGGAAATCTGCCGCTCCGAGACCTGA